CAAAAAGCCAAAAAACAAAACCAAAAACTATAAATATTTGGGCATGGTGACACATACCCATAATCTCAGCACTCTGCAGGCTAAGGCACGAGGATTATTGTGAGTTTGAGGGCAGTTTGAGTCATACTGAGTTCAAGGCCAGGCCAAACTGTATATAGGGATATCTTGTCTCAAAAACAGAAACAATCATCTACCAAGGAGGAACACTAAATGTTCAAAAATCTATTCTAGTATATCATAATATAGTAAGTACCTTCCTCAACAAATTATATTAAAATATCACAATATAGTAATACAAACTGTAGTCAAGTAAATATATCAAGAGATTCTCCACCTAGGTTCCTTGTTCCATTTAATACATTGTTATGGATTAAGAACTGGTGGTCAACTTAACACCAGCTGGATTACATCAGCATGGCACTGAGCATAGATCTTCCACCTGAGGAAAGCTGCCAGCATAAATAGAGACATGGAGATGGAGAAACTATTAAGTTGAGGTGTTGAGGATTCTCCTAGATGTTGCTGTTTGAGCTGTTGAGAAGCTCTGGTCCTCACATGGAGCATTGCTTCCTGGTTCCAGAGGGTAAGACGTGTGCCATCTGGTCTCCAGGATGAACTTGTCACACCGGCTTCCTGGCATGTACTCAACTCTGCTTATCGTCGAAGGAGCTCGGGGCCTCCATGTCACTGAGTACGGCTGTGGTGCTTTTCAGGACAGCCCTACTCTTTGTTGTGAGTGTGATTTCTCAGCTCCAGCGTACAACCCACAACCTACCAGCACAGCTCCTTCACCCTGTTGGCACAGACTTGCTGTTTTCCACTGCTGACCTTTGGGCCTTCCCAACACGGATCCATAAAAGAGACTGGTGTGAGCCCTTGTGGGCTCAAGACCTCCAGTTGAACTCGTGGGAGGCATTATCATGGGCTCTGGGTCTTCATTTGGATTCATGTGGGACATTGCTGTGCGATTTAGACCCTTGGCTAAATATTTTGTCTTTAATGTTGTGGAGATTTCCTATATTTTCTTGTGTTAACTCTGGGTGACCATCATAAAAATAATATTATGAACTCCATGTACTGTTTTTAATTGTTCTCTGCACAACCTCTGACTACAACATACATATTATTTCCTTTTAAAATTTTTACAAAACATATAAAAATTAAGATTGTCTACTATTGCATCATAGGGAAAAAAAAATCCTCATATGCTTTCACCAAACTTGAGAGGATATTTTGAGATGCTCTAACTTAAAATACATACTACCTGACATTTATGAATTTTCCCATGGGTGCTCTTGAGAATACTCAGAGGTGGGCAGTCATACTCCCAAACCTTTAAAACAGTGGTGGTAAACCATGGCACGCGTGCCACAGTGAGGTATTTATCATTGCAAGCTCAAAAAGGTTCACTATTACTGCTCTAAAATTTAGGTACCATTACGTATGCTTGTGATTGCTACACTGATACGTATTATCAGAAAAAAAGGAATCGAACTCAGGACCTTGCATTTGTCAGGCAGATGCTTTTGCCGCTGAGCTACATCCCTGGCCCAAAAAACACACACTTTTAACTACTCTTACATCAGATAATTTTTTATTGCTCTGCCCAGTTGATCAAATAATCTTAGACCCATGAATCTATTCAATATGTGGACAACATCAACCCTAACAATCCTTGGAATAGCAAAAAACTCATTTTTACACTAACAAATTAGAATGATGTTCTGCTCCAAATCCCTTACAACCTAGCTTAAATATGGTGCTCATTTAACATGATGGATGAAACTATAAAGGTTTCTTCCATTTATTCAAAAAATAGTAATTGGTTACTTTGTCAGCACTCAGTCAGATGCCAAAAACACAAATAGGTGAGAGACAACAAATTCTAACCAAGGGATGAAAAATCCTTAAAGGAGTGAAACAACACAGCTGATTGCTATGCAGTGTGACACATTCTATGACAGAGGTGGGTACGGGATGCTACGGAAGTATCAAGGAGCAACTGAGATAGCCAAGGAGAAAGAACATCAGGCGAAAGACAGGTGAAGAAGAGGCTGAGAGGTTGTTCTGGCAGAGACAGTATTATATGCAATAGCTAGAAAACAAGAGAAGAGCTCAATATAGCTGTAGCAGTTAAGGTAGACTGAAGCAAAGCACAGGTAGACGGCACTGGAAGGTGCAGATGTTAAAAAGCAAATGAAAAGCTTCACACTGAAAGATCATGATCCCAAGTATCTGAACTTAGCTTCAAAGTTATTTTGTAAACATTTGTTTAGAAAGATCAACCAAAAGGTTTACCAGTCAGTTTTCTCATTGCTGAGACACAATACCTAATAACCTGTAACTCAAAGTAGGCAGTTTTAATTCAATTCAGTTGCAGGAAATTCAATCCATGACTGGCTGGCTCCAAAGCAGAAACACATGCCAAACAGGCACTGCAGAGCAAAAATGCTTAGTTCATAGAAATTGGGAAGCACAGGAGGGGAGAAGGACAGAAAGTGATGAGGGACAAGATACAGTACCCAAGGACACACCTCCATGACCCATCCAAACACAGCTCCAAGTGTGCTCCATCAACACCTTGGGCAGCTTTCAAACCAATCAAGTAGACACAATGAAGCCTAATCATCATAATCCATCCCTTGTTAACTTGACACCCAAAAACATTTCCCTAAACTATTACTGACTGATTGACTGGTTTTTTGAGATAGGGTCTATGAAATTCAGGCTGGCCTTGAACTCATTATGTAGTCAAGGCTGGCCTCAAACTCACGATGATCCACCTGGCTCAGCTTCTCAAATGCTACGATTACAGACCTATACCACCCAGCTCCAAACCATATTTAATATCCAAATAAACACTAAGTCATAATTCCACCTAACATGATACAACAATCTTGTGTAAAGCCAAAAACAAAATAATCCTTTTCCTAGTTTCAACATTTCCAGCATTTTCCAAAAATTCAAGTCTCTTCTGAGATTCAAAGCAACTTTTAACTGTGAACGTCTGTAAAAATAAAAAAATTACCTAATTCTAAGATGTAACAGCGCAAGGGAATACTCCCATTCCAAAAAGGAGGAATAAGGGGACACAAAGAACTAAACCAACACAAGACCAAAACCTAAAAGAATATACATTAAGTTCTGTAGCTCCATACACAGCATAGCATACAGGGCACAATGGTGGTAAAATGTTGCGTACCAGAGGGTTTGGATCACCCATCCATAAGGCCTTGGGAACCCACCAAGCCTCTCTCTTGGACTGGATCCCCTCAGGCTTGCAGCTTTCCTTCCTTGGCAGAAATTCCACATTCTTATCATCTCTGACTCTGTGAGGTCTCCAATGCACCTTCGGCTTCACTCTCACAGTTTCATGCACTGCCCAGTGAGGGGATCTTTATCTTGTCTCCCAGGCCCTTCTCTGAAATCAGGGTTGAAGTCTCTCTTACCCTACAACTCTTGCATTCTGTATATTGGTAAAACTTGCATTACATGGATGACACCAAGATCTGCTGTCAACTGGAGCAGTAGCTAGGTCTCTGAATTTCCTCTGCCAGATCAATTAGTCCAGCATCTTTAAATTCAGCTTTCTGTAGTCTTAGGACACAAAAATGGAGAAAAACTTTCTGCTAGAATGTAACACACACAGGGCCTCTAATCCAATTGCCAGAAGAATTCTTCTCAACTAAAGCCTCCTGAGCCTGGCATTTACTATCCATATTCTTATCAGCATTCTGGTCTTGAGCTCCAAGCAGAACCACCCACGAAGCTCTGCTTATAGCAATCCAAGGCTTCTCCACTGGCAACTCCAAACCTTTCCAAACTCTTTCTACAAACCAGTTCCAAAGGCCTCTAAATAACATGATCTGGAACAGATGCAGCAATAATCCCTTATCTCTGATACCAATTTTCTGTTCTGGTCAACTTTGTCATAACTGAGACACAATATCTGACATGTGCACATTAAAGGAGAAGAGCTTAGTTTCAGAACATCAGCCCAGTCAGTCAGTTGACTCCAAGGTAGGAATGTCATGGCAGAGCAAAGATGCTTAGTTCATTACAGCCAGGAAAGAGAGCTGGGGAACAGCAAAGAAGAAGGAGCAAGGGAAAACACATAGCATATGTTGTAGTCAGGGCTTGCAAGGGAATAGATTTAACATAGGACACATAATTTATAGGATTATTTTGTAATATTCACTCAAAAACTCAAATGCAGTGGAGTGCAAGAGATATGTCCATGTGTTAGAGATCCAAAGAATTCAGTTGAGGGCCTGGGTCCCATGGGAATGTCCTGCATGAGTCCATCTGAAGACCTATAGCCCATGCCAAAGTCCTGCACAAGTCCAGCTGGAGGCCTAGAGCCCACAACAATGTCTCACGCAAGTCTGTATCAAGAATCTGCACTGGTAAGGCCCAAAGGTCAGTGGTGGAAGTCAGAAGGTGTGCGCCAGTAGGTTGATGGATCTGTGCCACCAAGCTGAGGGACCTGTACTGGAGCTAGGAAGTGACACTCAAGGTAATGACCAGAGCCCCTCATACTCCCTGAAAAGAACAGCAGCCATCCTCAGCAACAGCAAGGACCCAAGTTCCTCCAATGATAATAAAAGCTGAGTTCGTACCAGGAAAACCAGTGCAACAAGTTTCTCCAGCAACAGCATACCATCTTCCCCTCCAGTTCTGCTTTTATGCTATTGGCAACAATCCTTGGGTGCGTCTTTCACACCCAGAAACAAGCTAAGTTCACTTGGGTATTCCAAGCTGACCATTAGTTAATCCACCACAGTACCTAAGGTCATGCCTCTATGACCCACCCAGACACAGTCAGAAGTATGTTCCACCAATTCCTTGGGTAACTCAAAGGCAACCAAGTTGACACATTCAAGCTAATCACCACTGGGGGCAATGTGAGCACTGGATTAAGGATTATGGAACACTGGGGGGCAGGGAGTCAAAAAACTCAAATGAACAAAAACAAAACACAACACAACAAAACACCTGACCTGCTATCAAAGCTTGCATCTGCAACGATTTGAAGGCTTTCCAAAGATGACCCATCATTTACATGTAGGAACAAGACTTCCTTCTGGGACCGGATTGAACGAATCCATCCCTAAAGAAGAGAAACACTTCTAAACATTTTCATTATACATACAAAAAAGACTAAATGAAAGAAGAAAAAATGTACTCACAATCTTGCCTCAATATAGCAACTGTGCATAATGAACTTTTAGTCTATATACATGCATACATAATTATACATGGTTCTTATCACAATGAGATACACACTTTGGGATACCCCCTTTTGTTCTCTTAATGAATCTCATCATTTTGAATGGATGTCAAATCAAGCTGATGAGCCTAGTTCACATAACCAATCTCCTCAATGCCGACTTTTCCAAGCTATCTCCTCCCATCATTACAAATAACCAGGTTTATATCTTGCTGTCATTTTTCTCCTATGATATTCCCATTATCCCCCTGTAGTATCTCTCAAAAAGTTACAACATCAACACACACTAACAAACTTTCAAAGACAGTCTTAAATTTAAATGACAATTACATGCCAGTACAAATGACACGTCTTTGTGCAGATCAATAACACTAAAAACAGTTCTCTCTGGTATACTTAAATGTAACATAGCAACTAAAAGAGAATTATATTCTTCTAGCAGACACCAAACAACTGTAAAGTACCCCATAAATGTAAAGTAAAAGAATACAGATAGACATTCACCATTAAACACGTTAGGAAAAGCAAAAAATGATTCCACATAGAAAAACTGTTGGTTAGTTGTCTGTTTCTGGCCATAATCTTCAGATGCTGCTATTACTATCACTTATTTATTCTATCACTTATTTACCTCTCCATAATGCTTTAAGGGAAAGAAACATGCTTGCTTTAAAATACATTGCCAGGTACACACATGAAAATTTACAGATGCTTTCTAGTAAGATATTTACTATTCACTGAACACACACAAGAAATAGTTTACTACCATCACACGTGGCCTCATTTCCTTCTTACAATGGCTATAAGGATTATCATGTCCACTTACAAATTAGAAAACTGAGGCTCACAGAAGATAAATTAACTTGTTCAGACTTACTGCTGGTAAAGTCCAAACTTGAAACCAAATATACTTCACTAGAAAGCCCTTGATCTCTTGCCAGGGCTATGTAAGATGAAATGTAAACCCACACAGCCTCATGTACATTGCACTTCGTCTCACATTTCCCCAAAGGCACCTGCTGTTTGGGTCATGTTTACTTACCAGATGTTTATGAAGCACCACTCTCTTACTTTTTTCTTAGTAAAGTTACCACTTTTTAAATATGTTCCTAAGTTCTTTATAAATACGCTACTTAACCCTCACAGAGCCACAAATGAAGTGGTTATTATTATTTTTGAAATAAGAACACATTTAGAGACATTAAGAAATCAAGTCATAGTTGCCAAGTAGTACAACTGGGATTCAAATACATGTAGTTATTCCTTTAGTGTTCATGTTCTTATCTACAAGCTTTTCTAAAAGTCATGTTCCTCCCCATGTACCGCGGTGTCTGGGGGACACACCTGGAGATTATTTCCAGTCTATCTTCAGTTAATTCTACTTGGCGAATACTTCCTTTAGGACTCAGGTGAAATATCATTTCATTTCTCACAGCTGACCTTCCAGTTATGGAATTCCTTTTCTGTTTTCTCATAGCCCTTTATTTGTACTATAAACAATAACATTGCTATAGACAAAGGATGTCCAATAGAAATACAATGCAAACCATCTAAGTAATTTTAAAGTTTTTAGTTGCCACACTGAGTAAAAAGTTGAAATATTTTAACCCATCATGCCAAATACTATCAACATGTAATCAATATAAAAATATTGATAGTGTATTTTGCATTCTTTAAACCTTTGTGCTTCAGAGTATATACTTTACATTTACAGGACATCTCACTTCAGATTAGTCACATCGCAAGTGTTTAGACCCACAAGTGGCTGGTAGGTACCATTTTAGACCATAAAGCACAAAACTGAAAGCCTCGATCCTAGATCGCAGGTTCTGGTCTATTAATCGTTGAATCTGATTTTGACAAGTACATAAAATGTATCTATGCAATGCCAAATTAATAATAAAGATTTTGATTTAGATCATGGAAAGAAAATAAAACCCAAATAAATGCAAAGAGCGGACTGGTCATAATGCTAAACAGGAAAGATGTATGAGGACACCAAAACACTTGCATCAGTGTTTTGACAATTTATTAAGAGTCAAACATCCTGCTTAACTTACTCCTATAAGGAAAACTGTCTTGTATGTTGTTAGGAAAAACACTACCAGCAAGAGAAATAATGGCAGCCAACATTTATTTACTATGGGCTACTATTCTAAATATACTCATCAGAACTCTATAAAATAGAAATTTTTATTATCTCTATTTTCATAAGACAGTTGGAGTTTGGAGCACTTAAGTGACATGCCCATAATTATCAAGCTACTCAGATGGAGAGATTTAAACCTAACTCTTTTAAATTGCTCTATTTCACTTTCTCCTCATTTATGGAACATAAATTTCAGGTAAGCCCCATTTTAGGGGTGGAGTAGCTAAAAGCTGAATAAAAGGTGAAGAGTATTTTACTGTAAGCCATGTGAGTATCAAGTTAGGTAGGACACGTTCTGCTCTTAAGGAGCTAGGGCGAGGGCCCCTATATAACCGTATTCATTGTGACAGATCACGGTATTAAAAAAAAAAAAAGGCCGGGCGGGGGGGATGAGTGTGTGTTGTTCACTAACTTTTTCTGCACGATTAGAAGTTTACAGGTGCTGCCTTGGAATCATGAAAAGCAACCTGCTGCATTTTATAGTAATCAGAACAGTTCTGCGAAAACAGTACCTGAAGGAAGGCAAAAGTGTGAACTGCAGCGATGCCTATATTTTCTAACTTTTCCCTGCTGTTCGTTCTAACCTGAGTACAAAGTAAGACCAGATGTGCACGTGCCTCACATGTGTCTTTGAAAAAATAAAATAATTCCCCAAACCCGTGCTCTTTCCATTCACCCACCTGAACCTTAACGCGCTCCCCACTCGTGTTCTGGGACCCGAGAGCGTCCCGCACGCTCAGTTTGGATGAAGGCTTGTGCCTCGGGCAGGGCACGGACGAGCAGAAGCGCAGGGCTCGAGAAAGGACCCGGGACCCGAACATTACGCCCCACCCCGGACCTCCAAAGGCGCAGCCCGGGTGTCAGCGGGTTCAAACTCTGCCAACGACGGCCCTCTGTGGTCGGCTGCAGCCCGAGCTAAAAGGAGCTCTAGGGCTCCCAATTCTGTCCCCTACAGAACCGCTTCTTTCCCTCTCCCCAACAGGGCAGAACGGTGACGGCACACTCCGCAAACGCCAAGGACAAAACGCTCCTGGCCAGACTTAGCGACCCACCGGACCGCTACAACCAGACACCTACACCGGAAAGTCGGGCTGCAAAAAGGTCGCCCACAGGCTCTACGTTACCACGCCAACATCGCTTACATCATCACGCAAGGCGGAGCCTGAGACAGAGCATGCGTACTTGTGTAAGGAGGCGGGGCTAAAGATGAAGGGCGGAGGAAGGGAAGGGACCGAGGCTCAGCTAAGGCTCAAAGTGGTTTGTAACAGTGTTCATCTGGCGCCAGGGAGCACAGTTGGAACTGCTTCTATGAGTCTTCGTTTCTAAGGCTTCCTGAGAAAGGTGAGGAGCAGAGACGCAAGGACCAACTGATAAAGAGGGAAAACGTCCAGGAGGAGGCTCTTAGTTCTTGAGAAAAGTAGCCTGAGGATGTCAGTGGTTGCTGAGTTATGAGCATTGAAAGGAAAATAGGATCTACTCCCTGCTCAAGTCAGTTGTGTGGTTATCAGGCAGATCATAAACCTTTGAATAAAAGTGATCAGAATCCTGGCAGAGCCTAAGCTAAGATAACAGAGAGGGCTGTCTGTACTCTGACAGCTGTGGAACTGAAAAGACCTGAAAATGGGAAAGAAGGGATGTGAAGCTGCTGGACAGAGACTGGAGAAATGCCAAGTGTTAACTGCCAAAATCTCTGTCTGCTTTCAGACAGTCGTTTGCATTTGCTTGACCTAAAAACAATGATGCTTATATTTGACTACAGTTTAAATTTATATAACACTTTGTTTTCCCTAAGTTGAACTCATGAAAGTGTTTCTATCTAGTTAAATAAAAGAGGTGAGGGCCAGTTTCTTAAAGTTGCCACTGTTATGTCCATTTCACAGATAAGAGAAGGCACAGAAAGGGTCATGACCTGCTAAACAAGTACGTGTGCTTTAAACCATCATGGTATGATGTCTCAAGGTGGAACTTTCCATTAAGGAAGTCATAGTCTAGTGATGGAAACTGGCAAGAAAAGAAATCATTGTAATATAAAGCAATAAGAGCATGTATAGATTGTATGCACCAAGTGGAGAAGCAGTCTAGAGGAGATAACTAAACTTTTTTAAAAGGAGGATTAGAATGTTGTCAGATGAGGATATAAAAGAATTTTCTGCCAAGAAGCTGGACAAAACAAGTTGCCAGGAGGACAAATGGCTCAAAAGGGGATGAGAAAGTATCTCCTATGAAAATACCTGGACACTCCTTGAACTTCAAAGTGGAAATGTGCAGCCTTTAGTGTTGTATCTAAACTGACATAGTGGAGCCTGCCTGTAATCTCAGCTCTTAGAGAGGCTGACGCAGAAAGATTGCAAGTTGGAGCTCAGCCTGGACAACTTAGCAAGACCTTGTTTGAAAGTAAAAATAAAAAACAAAAAGTGATCTGGAAATGTAGCTCAGCATGAAGGCCTTGGGATCAATCCCCAGCACTCCAAGGGGAGAAGAAAAATAGTATACCTTTGGTAAATTGGCTGCAAATTCTGGAGGACAAGATGTGCTCACCACAATGATGTGTACCTCTTTACAAACCTTTTCTTTGACCATGCCTACCCTATTAAAAGGATTAAAAGTACCAGCCAATTAGCTTACTTTCTCCTCAACCGTTTTTCTGTATTGCCTTCTTTTATGGTTTGGATCTAAAAAGTCCCCCCAAAGGCCATGTGTTAAAGATTTGATTGCCAGGTGATAGGCTTTGGGTAAGTGATGGGATCATAAGGGCTCTAACTTCACCAATGGACTAACAATTGATGAATTCATAGCTCAGTGGGTATACTAGAAGGTGGAAGATGGGTGTGGTGGTGTGTGCCTATAATCCCAGCAGCACTGGGAGGCTGAGGCAGGAGAATTGCCATGAGTTTGAGACCAGACTGGACTTACAAGCATGACCTTTTTAATAAATAAGAAAGTGGAGCCTAATTGGATGAAGCAGGTCACTGGAAGCATGGCTTTAAAGGGCATATTTTGTTTTCTGCCCCTTGTTCCTCCTGTTCTCCCTCTCTCTCTTCCCCCATTTCCTGGCTGCTTTGAGGTGAGCAGCCTCATCGTCCACACTTCTACCGCCATGATTTTCTGCCTCATCTCAGGATCAGATTAATGGAGCCAGTGAACATGGACTGAAAACTAAAACCATGAGTCAAAAAAAACCTTTTTTTTTTTAAATTTTCTCAGCTGTTTTGCTACAGTGACCAAAACCTCACATGCCTTCTTTCTCCCTCTCCACTGCTGCACTGGATGATACGCTTTTGAAGAACTTGGGTCTCAGTCTCAGAAAGAGGGGATCCTGACTTCCTCTCCCAACATGTTTAAATCGAAAGGTTAATTATTTTCTAAACAAGGAACCACTGCCCAGTATTATGATAAAAGGAAAACTAGTTTGTGTCGAGAAGTCTGTCCTGATTTTGATGGGTTTTCCTTTATAGGTGATCTGTTTCTTTTCTATGACCACTTTTTAAAAAATTTTATTTAAAGAAAGACTAAACAAAACAGAAAATAGGTAGAAATAATACATATGTTCAGAGAAAAAATAAACAGTAAGAAATCACTAGTTGATGTTTACTTATTGTCATTTTACAAATAGTAGTTAAAAGTACAAAAATGGAACATGTAAAGTGGGAATTCAAACAGCGAGCCTGCAAACAGTTCTGTTCAACTGTCCAGCAAAAACTTAGTAACATGGTTGTCAATCATATACACTTAAACATACATGCAGTTATCCATATCTTCATTTATGTTTAGATTAAACAAACTAAAGCAGGTTGAAAATCATTCTGAACAAAGAATAATAGTATTGCTGGATTTCACATCATGACACTCTGTAATCAGTACTGGGTACTGCAGTGTCTTTTTTAAAAATTTAATTTAAAGAAAGACTAAAAAAAACAGAAAATGGGTAGAAATAATACATAAGTTCAAAGAAAAAATAAACAGAAGTCACTAGTTGATGATTACAGATTGTCTTCTTACAAATAGTTATTCAAGATACTAAAGTGGAGCATAGGACGTGAGGTTTCAAACAGTGAGACTGCAACCAGTTCTGTTGAACTATCCAACAAAAACTTAGAAATATGGTTATCAATCCTATACACTTAAACATGCATGCAGTTATCCATATCTTCAATTATGTTGAGATTGAATAAACCCAAGCAAGCTAATATCACTCTGAACAAAGAATAATACTATTGCTGGGTTTCACATTATGACACTCCAGGATCAGCACTGGTAGTGTCTCATTTTCTTCAAAGTATCTGTTCATTTCATCATGTGTCATAAGATCAGTTCTCATAGATTGTTTATAGATTCTACACATACATGAGTTTTAACATGTATTTCTATTCTTTCTATATTAGAGGGAGAAACTAAACAAAGCAAGGCAAAATCAAACATATTCCTATAAACACATGAAATGAAATAAACATATAATACCATTGTACAGAGTTCTACCATGGTTCCTGTGTTGTCTCTTGTTATCTCCAACAGAATTGGCTATATCATCAGACATAGTATAATTGAATGTATCAGTACATAACAGTATTCATAAAAACACAACTTTGTATTTAGTATAGAACTTCCAAAACTAGCAGTTATCAAACCAGAATGTGTATCGTAGTCTTGTCATCTTCAGTGTAGTTGCCTATACTCACAGACTTGATACTATCAATCGTATCAGTTTTGAATAAAGTCTTCTCTACCTCATTTCTGTTATGCTCTTTTTTTCTGCCATCAATTGTCTGCTTATCTTCTTCATTCTATTTTCTGTTCCATTCATTGAAGCCTCTCTGCCACTGTTCTTGGAATCCTAGTACTTTTCTCTCTCTCTCTAGAATGCCCTGCAGTATTCTCTGTAGAGTTGGATTGGTGGTTGCAAATTTCCCAAGTTCCTCTTTGTCTTGGAAGCATCTTGTTTCTCCATTAATTTCTAGAGACAGTTTAACGGGGTATATCAATCTGGGATGGAGGTTATTTTCTTTTAGGGCTTGGAATATTTCACTCCAGGCTCTTCTTGACTTGATGGTTTGTGTTGAGAAGTCTGCTGTTACGCTGATAGGCCTTCCTCTATTTAGGTTATCTGTTTCTTGTCTCTAATAGCTTTTAATATTCTGTTCTTATATTGAATTTCTGGGATCTTGCTTATTATTTGCCTGGGTGTAGCTCTGTTTTGGTTGTAGATGGCTGAAGTTCTGTATGCTTCATATGTCAGAATATCATTTCCTTTTCCTATGTTTGGGAACTTTTCCTTAATTATTTCTGTGAATAACCTTTGTAGTTCCTTTGTTTGTACCCCAGCTTCTTCATTCACATTATTTATTCTCAAGTTATAGATCCTTTTGTCATCTTCTAGCCTTTGTATTGTTACTGCTTGTTTTCTTGTTTTTAAAAAGTTTTCCCTTTCATACTCCCACATTGCAAAAGTATCCTCCAGTTTGGATAATCTATCCCAGCAAGTGTGAGGTCCTAAGTTCAATCGCTAGAACACTCCTCCTCCTCCCAAATTCAAATGCTATAACAATATTCCTCCTCATCCTGTGAAAATCAGTGACGTTAACATACGTCTGAATAACATTAGGTCTGTACATTACAATTCAGTATCATTATATTGAAAGGGTGGCTGGCCCAGGCCGGATACTGTAGCCGGTAAAGCCAGGGAGCTCCTATCTCCCCCCACCCTTGGAAATTACCTCTGGCGCCAAACTAAGACCAATGGGCTACCTGTGCATCCCTAATGCCCCTTGGGTTCCACCCCAGGCTGAGGCTACTTATGTGCCTCACTCCACGTGTTTGAGGGCGAGATCGCCGGCCTGGAGCGGAGATGCCGCGCCCTGGGGGATCGGGGGTGTCTCTCCCCGCATTCCCAAAATAAAGGTTACTTATATTTTATACTTCTTATCTTTTCAGCCACCGCCACCAATCCTCCTCTTCCTCCCCTTCACAGTTCGAGCACATATATCTTTTTGTATGGTGTGAGTACATCTATTGCTGGCAGCATTAAAATTGGGCTTGTTTGAGAGAAAAGAAAGGGAGGATTTTATCCTTCTTGAACGACAGTAAAATAGGCATGTTACAGAATTCATATTGGAAGGCTTGAGATAAGTGCTACAGATTATACTAACATGCTGCTCATTCCTTCTTTCTATCCATTGATTGAGGTTTACATTTTAGGGAAATAAAAAAGAAACTTTGTATTAAATTTGTAAGGACACTCTGAGCATTTGAATTATTATGCCTTCAAGGCAATCAACTGTGTTTTACTATCCACTGTCAAATTGCCATTATAGCTTTCATCTATAGCTAGAAACTGTGTTTCCCACAATTCTCTCTGTGTGGTTCCAGATCAGAATTTTCCAGTTTACTCATGAGATTTGAAAAGAGAGGATATTAATTTCTTAGGAGGAAGTAGTGGTGGGTAATTTGCAGACATCTCTGCTTCATTACAGTTTGCAAACATATGTAACATGGTAATTCCAGAAGGAAAGGAAAGATAAATATACTCCGAGCAATGTTTGAAGAGATCACAGCTAACAATCTTTTAAAACTGATGAAAGACATCAGATTACAGATTCAAGAATCTCTATAAACTTCAGGCAGGATAAATATAAAGAAAATCATATGTAGGCACATAGCAAAACTACTGAAAGCCAAATAGTTAAAGAGAAAATGTTAAAATATTTTTTGCTGAACTCAAAGGAGCCAGGAATAAAATTGACAGGGGACTTTTAACAGAAATGATGGAGCCAAAACACAATAGTGGTGTCTGTAAAAGTCTGAAAGAAAATACTTGCCAACCTAGACTACTATATATAAAAAATATCCTTCCAATAAATAAAAATAGAAAATTCACTGTTATTCCAACCACACTCTAGGCAGAAGGAAAATGCTTCCTTTATTGAAGAGTGAAAAGTCATAGTTATTTGTGGGAGACAACTCCAGTGTCTCCTTTTGAATCCAAAACAATTACTGTGACTTTGAATATTTGGAGACTCATTTCCTTATACTGATCTGTAAAAGGCTGGCTGAGGTATTTCCTTGTCTTCAGTTGGCTCTGAGTTTTGCAAATAAGGCTAGCTGAGGTGCTAATATGCAAAATCTATAGCCATTAGACAGTCCTGTTTCCTCACATGGTGCTTTCTTTCTTTCTTTTTTTTTTTTTTTTTGTTTGTCTTTTTATCAGTATGGGGGATCGAACTCACAACTGCCTTCTTGCAAGGCAGGCGCTTATGCACTGAGCTAAATCCCCAGCCCCTGGTGCTTTCCACATACAGGATTGAGCTGGTGAGATATTAGAGCAAACAGCTCTGGGAATGTCAACTGGGTACCAAGCCTCAAGATAAGAGGCTATGACTCCCCAGGGCACAAGAGTTTGCATATCACTAACGGAAGCAATAGCCCCCAAAACAATTCCACTGTTACCTTAATTGGGTTATGTAAACTGATCCCTCTGCGTATCTTTATCTCTGCAAATTACAGAGACTGGGCATTCTGGCCAGACAGCTCAAGTTACTCAGTAATCCCCTACATCCTGACTATTACTGGTCCCTGAGCGACACCCCCTTTCTTCACAAAATAATAAATGCTGGAAGAGGCCT